TATGTGTATAGTTACAATGATCATGCCTTAGAGATCATTGGCGTGGGAACCATCAAATTGAAGATGTATGATGGAACAATTAAAGTTGTTCGAGATGTGCGGCATGTGAAAGGCCTGAAGAAAAATTTATTATCCTACGGATTGTTGGATAATAATGCAAGCAAGATTGAAACACAAAAAGGAATCATGAAGGTGTTTCGTGGAGCGCTTGTGGTGTTAAAAGGCGAAAAGATAGCAACAAACTTGTACATGCTAAAGGGAGAAACTTTACTTGAAGCAGAAGCCTCTGTTGCCTCATGTAGTTCAGATTTTGCAATGCTATGGCATCAGAAACTTGGACACATGTCAGAACAAGGAATGAAAGTCATTGTGGAGAAAAAGCTACTTCCAGGCTTAACAAAAATATCACTTACTTTGTGTGAGCATTGCATAACAAGTAAGCAGCACCAGTTGAAATTCAACACGTCAAATTCTGGAGGCAAAAGTGTTCTAGAATTGGTTCATTCTGACGTATGACAAGCACCAGTTACATCCCTAGGCAGAGTAAAATAATTTGTCTCATTTATTGATGACTACTGTAGGAGATGTTGGGTGTATCCTATTAAGAAGAAGTCATATGTGTTTTCAACTTTCAAAAACTTCAAAGCGCGGGAGAAACTTGATTCTGGAAATAAGATCAAGTGTTTCAGAATAGGTAATGGAGGAGAATACACAAGTGAAGAATTTGATGACTTTTGCAAAATAAAGAAGGCATCAAAAGACAGTTCACGGTGGCAAACACTCCTCAACAAAATGGAGTGGCAGAGCGGGCGAACAGAACCTTGTTAGAAAGAACAAGAGCAATGTTGAGGGATGCAGGCCTAGAAAAATCATTCTGGACAGAAGCAGTCAATACCGCCTGTTATTTGGTGAATCGAGCTCCATCAACTGCAATAGAGCTGAAGACACAAATGGAGATGTGAACTGGTAAACCAGCTGATTATTCAAACCTCCATGTATTTGGAAGTATTGTGTACGTGATGTACAACTCCCAAGAAATTTCAAAGTTGGATCCAAAATCCAGGAAATGCAAATTCTTGGGGTATGCTGATGATGTAAAGGGGCATCGCTTGTGGGATCCCACTGCCCACAAAGTGATCATTAGCAGAGATGTTATCTTTGTAGAAGATAAGCTACAAAGAAAAGAAGAAGATGGTAGTACTGAAAAGTCAGAGATTACACAGATACATGTGGAAAATGAGTTTGAACATGGATATTCTTCTGAAGCATAACCAACACATGATGAACAAGAACCAGAGAGTTCTGAAGCTCCAACAAATCGTCAATCAGATCGTGTGAGAAGACGTCCCAATTGGCACTCAGATCATGTTCTAGAAGGAAATGTTGCATATTGCCTTTTAACAGAGGACGGTGAGCCATCAACATACTAGGAGATAATAAATAGCTCAGATGATTCACTGTGGATGATGGCGATGCAAGAAGAAATTGAAGCCTTCATAAAAATAATACATGGGACCTTATGCCACTACCACAAGGAAGGAAGCCAATTAGAAACAAATGGGTCTTTAAAATCAAGCAAAATGGTGACGATCAAGTGGAGAGGTATCGTGCAACACTGGTGGTCAAAGGATATGCTCAAAAAGAAGGTATTGATTTCAATGAAATCTTTTCTCCTGTGGTTCGACTAACAACAGTTCGAGTAGTTTTGGCAATGTGTGTTACATTGAACTTATATATAGAACAGCTAGATGTTAAAACAGATTTTCTTCATGGAAATCTTGAAGAAGAGATTTACATGCTCCAACCTGAAGGTTTTGAAGAAGAAAAAAACTTGGTTTGCAGGTTGAACAAATCTTTGTACGGTCTAAAGCAGGCGTCGAGGTGTTGGTATAAGAGATTTGATTCCTTCATTATGTGTCTTTGATACAACAGACTTAATGCAGACCCTTGTACTTATTTCAAGAGGTCTGGTGATAACGATTTTGTTATATTGTTGTTTGTGGATGACATGTTTTTTGCAGGACCCAACAAAGATATATTGAAGAATTGAAGGCACAACTGGGTAGGGAATTTGAAATGAAGGAGTTGGGATCAACAAACAAGATTCTAGGGATGCAAATTCACCGAGACATAAGTAATATGAAGATTTGGCTTTCATAAAAGAATTACTTGAAGAAGATATTGTCAAGATTCAGCATGGAAGATTGTAAGCCAATTTCTACCCCTCTTCCTATTAACTTCAAATTATCCTCCAGTATGAGTCCTAGCAGTGAAGAATAGAGGATAGAGATGTCTCGAGTACCGTATGCATCAGCAGTGGGAAGTTTAATGTTCGCTATGATATGCACAAGACCAGACATTGCACAAGCAGTGGGAGTAGTTAGTTGGTACATGGCGAATCCAGGAAAAGAGCATTGGAATACAGTAAAGAGGATCCTGAGATACATCAAAAGGACCTCAAATATTGCATTATGTTACGGAGGATCAAACTTACTAATCAATGGCTATTTAGATTCTGACTATGCAGGAGATTTGGATAAAAACAAATCTACTACAGGATATGTGTTCAAAGTTGCTGGTGGAGCTGTAAGTTGAGTTTTAAAATTGCAGTCAGTTGTGGCTATGTCCACAACAGAGGCAAAATATGTAGCAGCTACACAAGCCAGTAAAGAAGCAATTTGGTTGAAGATGCTATTGGAGGAGCTTGGGCACAATCAAGAGTATGTCTCTCTGTTTTGTGACAGTCAAAGTGCCTTGCATCTAGCAAGGAATCCAACATTTCATTTAAGGACAAAGCACATACGAGTTCAGTACCATTTCATTCGTGAAAAGGTGGAAGAATGAACGGTATATATACAGAAGACCCATACCAAAGACAACATAGCAGATTTCATGACGAAGGCGATTAATGCTGATAAATTTACTTGGTGTCGATCCTCTTGTAGCCTGTCAGAGACATAAGCAACAATATGGTACAAGGTAGAAAGAATGGTGTGAAGATATGATTGTTCCAATCAAATCTTTAAGTGGGAGATTGTTGAAAAGTAAACAAGTGGGATAAGCCACTTTCGGTGCACATGCTATTGTTCAACAATTGTTTTCGGTGAAAGCACCAAATTGATTTGTCAAAGGGGGCACCGAAAGGTGTAGAAAATATTATTTTTTTGGTAAAATCAATTTTAGTCATTGTAATTTAGGGTATTTACAAATTAGTCCTTAAGCTTCAACTATAAATACCCTAGCTCATTTAGCTTCAAAACCATTCCAAATCGTTCTAGATTTCTCCCAATACTAGAGAATTTAGAGAGTTTCTTAAGAGTTGTTTTCTCATTTTTTTATCAAGAGAGAATTATCATTGTTTTCTCCTTGGTAGATCGAGAGAGGTTGTAATTCCTATTTTCTCATAGTGAAATTCTTCTACCGTTGCCCGTGGTTTTTACTCTATATTATTTAGGGGTTTTCCACGTAAATTTTATGTCTCTTTTATCTTTATTTTTATTTTCTCAAATTTTCAGTTGTGATTTTGCTCTATCTGATAGCCGTCTTCCGCAACAGTCAACACAACCAAATCTCCATTAAAAGTCAATCGTGTTCGAGAATTAACAAAATCAACAGCTGCGTTAGAAGATAACTTGAATAAGAAGGTGGCGTCCCCCAGTAAAGATATATCAACCAAGCGACCCGTTTCCTAGAGATCGTCCGAAAGACTCACATGAAAGCTTCCGTGTCAAGTGGAGTCGTGGCCAGAATGCGACCAATCAACCAATAAGTAGTAGCAGTGGGGGTAAATTTGTGGGATCCCCCAGAAGAGGAACGTCCGTTGTCTCATGAGACTTGAAATGAAGATCAACAAATAGTTTCTCAACTTCCTCAACTATGGATACAAGGAGTGAAATTACACAAGCCCCACAACAAGAGAACAAACTTACACAAAAACCCATCACCTGATACGTAATCATGGGAAGAAAGGGGTTAGGAGAAGTTACACTAACTACCCACCATTACATGCATGACACCAGTATATCTTGAAAATAAGGGAACCGTCAAGAGGCCAGGAGAGGGATCGATAAACAAAGAGGAAATCCCCGGATGAGAAGAACTGAAAAGTATGCCATATTCAATATAGATGTATTGGGTTGAACCTGAGCAGCAAATAGAAGGAAAGCGTGCATGATAAAAGACACTGAGTGCAGTGGCATATCCAATAGAAATATTTTTTAGAATATTTTAGGGTGAGAACAAATAAAATTTTAGGGTAAACACCATCAATAAAATAAAGAATTAAGTGAAGGAAAATTTAGTTTCATGGTAGGCATAAATAAAATTCAAGGTGAACACTATCAATAAAATAAGGAATTAATCGGAGAAAATTTAAATTTCAGAGTAGGCATGTATCATACGTGCTCCGCCACTGAGTGAGTGGGTTATCTGAGCACACCGGACCAGAAAACATAATCGAATCGAAACCACGCCGAAAATATGTACAACTAAACCAGATGACAAATCGCGACGAATACCCGTTCCAAAGTAGCTAAAACCACACCAGTTACCGTGCCACCCTCCGCCATGCAGAACTAATTCAATTTTTTTAAAAACATGTTAAATAAGCATAAATGTTACACTAAATGAATATGAATATATTTAATTTTAAATAAATAAATACAAACATAATTTTACTATTATTAATAACATAAACAAATTTAAAAATAAACAAGCAGGCATGAACAAAAGTTTGTTCATCCAAATTCGATTCATCTACAATTTAAAATATTTTATAATGATTTTATTTATTAGATTAAAAAAGAGTTTTTTCAGATTTTTCACGATAAAACAAACTAAAATGATAGTGAAAGTTTTAAAAGGATAATGTAACAATATCCGGCCTTGGCGGGGACAGAATTGTAGCTATAAATTTGCCATGGTAATTCTCTCTCTTGCTCTCCCTAGCATCACAATTCACACCAGGTCATCCTCTCGTCTTCACTTTCTTTTTAATATATATACATTCGGTTCTATTATTGATATAGATTATAGTGTACGTTTCTCCAGGTGAGGGAAAAAACAGGAGGATCTGATGTACTTACTGGTGGATCTTAATTATACACAAGATCATGATGGCTCTTGAAAACAAGGGTTCGTTTCCTTTCCTTTTGCGTTTATAGTTTTCAGCTTTGATTCGCTTTGAGTGAACATTTGGTGGTTTTATGATTAATGGGGTCTCCAAAATATATATCTTTTGGACATTTTATCCAATGGGTTTCTAATGCTTTTCTTAAAAATACATTCCTTTTTTATTGCTCTATTTGCCTACTGTTGAGATCACTTCTGTTTTAAGATCTTTTTTCAGGGTTACCTTTTTTTTTGGTTTTGAATAATTTAATTTGAATTTACGTTGTGATGCATATAGTCTTATGGGATTTTTTGTGTGCCATTGAATGGCTAACGCTAAGAAATTGGGAGTTTATTTTAAAAGATCAGCTTACTCGAAAAAAATATTTTTTTTAAGTTGGCTTTTTGTAAGTTGAACCTGTTATTTGTTGGAATAATTGGAAGAGGAGTACGTTAATGTTGTTTTTCATATTTAGTTTCATGCTGTCTGTTCTAAACCAAATAGGCCTTATTTAGTCTTTAAGCAATTAGTGACTATGTGGAGAAGCTTTAGGTAGATTGTATGATAATTTCTAGTGCTAGATATTTTATATTAATTTTAGCCTTGTAGATTTTATTTTTGAATCGTCTCATTGTCATCCACATCCATCACAGTGAAATCACTTTCTTTATAGCAATGAACCGTAATGGTTTGTAATAGATTCCAAAATAATCTTTTGGCATTTTAGAAGGAACTTATTTTGGTGCTCTTGGTAAGAAAAATGACTACTAGATTGATTTTGGCTAAGAAATAGCAACTTGGATTGCAGCATTATGGAGATTTTTCATCATTTATAAAGGCGCTTTCATTGATTTTTTTGGTTAAAATTTGGCTACTTGAATTTCAACCAATGGATTTGGATGGGGTGATTGACTTTGCACCTTCTTAGATGTGTCTTTCACCTTCAAATTAAAAGTTTGATGCAGGAATAGATTCCAAGACAATGTATCCTTTATCTTTAAGAGTATGAACTTTTAGAATTTCATTTTCATTTCTTTTACCCTATTTAGCCTGCCATTTTCTTGTGTGTGTCTCTATCTGTTTCGATCTCCACTGCAGCAGTGGAAGGTGAATGTACATAGCTGAAGGAAATGAGGCATGCTATGTTTATTTTCTCACCAAATTATATGTTATTTTTGTGTGTATGATGGTGAGTTAAAGCCTTTTAAGATTTGTTACGAGTTCCTTTGATTTCTTTTTGTCGGTCTCGGCTGAGCTCCGCACCTGTTTCTGGCTTGCTGCCATTGGTTGTTGCTTGTTGTTACTTTTTCTTAAAAGGAACCACATACGTTTCCTTTGTATGTGTGTGTGTTTTCACTTTGTTCACTCTCAACCAGCTTGTTTGTTCTTTGACTCGGAGGAATTAGTATGGGTCTTATTGGTTATGCATACATCAAATCTGATTTTGGATTCACAGATTTTTGCTTATTTATTTTATGTAGAAACTACGCAAGACTGTGAGGCAGTCTTAAAATGTCTCCAGACGAAGGGGTTCCCATACAATATGCCATGTACTGGGAACTCAATTGAAGGCCCCCCAGAGCTTAAAGATGAAATCGGTACTCGCCCAGGTGGGGACATAATAGAACCAGTTTTCTCATTGAATGGAGAGTTTATGGAACTTCCGAATGAGTTTTACCACAAACCTACTTTCCCACATGAGTATGGCTCATGGTCGACCTTTTATCCTGACACTCATAAGTTGCAGCCGTACCCGTTGAATGTTTTCGGGAGCCAACTGTACCATTTTCCTGTAGATAACCGATTTCATTATGCTCCATTCAATGTGATCACTCATGGATACCCTTACGAGTTCCAGTTTCAAGATTTTCAATACTTTGTGGTCATAGACTTTGAGGCTACATGTGACAAGGAAAGAAATCCCCATCCACAGGAGATTATCGAGTTTCCATCCGTCATCGTGAGTAGTGTTACCGGCCAGTTGGAAGCATGTTTTCAGACTTATGTACGACCAACTTGCAACCAGCACTTGAGTGATTTCTGCAAGGATCTCACTGGTATCCAGCAAATTCAGGTCAGTTCATAATTCCTTTATTCTAGGGGCACAAATACAGGACTTGTCTGATTGTGATTATTATCTGCATTGATGTTTGACTTCTTTCTTGTTCTCTTGTACTCTGTGGCTTCTGAGCCTATGTCCTAAATATGCCTTTGTTTTCTAGGTAGATAGAGGTGTTACTCTGAGTGAGGCTCTCCTTAGGCACGATAAATGGCTGGAGAAGAAGGGAATAAAAAACACTAACTTTGCTGTGGTGACATGGTCGAATTGGGATTGTCGGGTAATGCTGGAATCTGAGTGCCGATTCAAGAAGATCCGGAAGCCTCCCTACTTCAACCGGTAAATAAGTTTGACCTGTGCTTTTTTTCCCTGTTTTTTCCTTTAACAGATCTTCTTATTTTCCTTTTGGTAGGTGGATCAACTTGAAAGTACCTTTCTGTGAGGTTTTCGGAGGTGTTAGGTGTAATCTGAAAAAGGCAGTCGAGATGGCTGGCCTGGCATGGCAAGGTCGTGCCCATTGCGGCCTTGATGATGCCAAAAACACAGCTCGCTTACTTGCCCTTTTGATGCACAAGGGTTTTAGATTTGCCATCACAAACTCATTGATGTGGCAGGCTACTGATGGTTCATTGACATGGAACTCGGTCCCCGTGAACATAGCCTTCTCTCCGAATCAACCACATAAGCCTGTGGATCAGCAGATGCCCCTATTCCATTACCACCCCTACTGTTTCTGTGGGGTGAAGAGTAGCAAAGGAATGGTTTGGAAACCTGGACCGAAGCAAGGGAATGTGTTCTTCGGCTGCGGGAACTGGACTGTCACTCGAAGTGTCCACTGCCACTACTTCGAGTGGGCTTCTCCATGACATGAATCTGCAAAGGCTTGTCCATCTTTCACGATGGCATTCTGAACCCTTCTGAGTCCTGTAAACAAAAAGAGGACGGGTAGTCGGTCGTCTTGTCGTTGAAACACAAATATAGCTACCTTAAGTTACTCTACTGCTTGGTGAGGTTTCTACTTCCTAGAGAAAATATATTAGTACTCGGCTTGGTTGTAGATGACGGTGTTCCAAGGAATTGGGAGCTTCAGCCAGTAAAGATAACTTGTCGACCGGAGAACAAATCAGGAATTTGAGGATATGGTTAGTTAGGATGATGCATATACATGTCAAGTTATCATAATAATGTACAGCTTGCATTCCTATGCGTTTCTAATGGGAATCAGCAGTGTCATTGCACTTGCTTGCACCGTATTCATTTCTGTTTCTTGCTTACTAACAACCATTCCGAACTAACACCCGAACCCCCGAGGTGGTTGATATCCAACCTCGGGTCTGATTATCTCGATCAAGTTTTTTAGTCGGCTTTGAATTTAAGCAAAAAAGAAAGTGAAATCAAACCTATTCGATAATAGATTTTTAAGACATTGTAAATTCATACTCTATAATAGAACCAACAATACATATTTGCTTTTCAATAATCTTCATTTGGTACGAGTACATCTTTCAAGAAGAAACTTACACTTTCATATCTTTCTGTTTCGCCAATCAACTTGGCCCTGTGGAAAATGTTTTAAATTGAAGTTTATGGAACCTTTTGTGCTTTCTTGACAACACGTTGATTGCTTCGACCAAAAGGGATTATTGAGATATATACGACATGGATATGTAGCCTGTTAAGAAAGATGATTTAAAAGGAGAAAGAAGTAATGCAATCAAGTGGAGCAATGCTGTCTTTTAATTTATGAATTTTGTCCAACAATTAAATATTACTTTACATTTTATTGATTGTAATAATGTTGTATTATCAACATAAGTGAGGCCTGGAACTTCTTTGTTAAGGCCGAAGCTATAAGATTTTCAATGATCAAAACATAGTTTATAATTATATATAATTTTATTTTTAAATTGTGTAAAATTGAAGTTTTATCTATATAAATATACAAAATCAAAATTCATATCACATTACATATTTGACCAAAATTCATGTGTAGACTGTAGTTTTAGTATTTATCTTTTTCTAAGAGAGTTTAACTAATACTTTTTATACTTTCATTTATGAGTTTACAATACCGATTTGTTATTTAATTATCTAAACATTTTAAGAGAGAATACCATGCACCAAGAGTGTTTTAGTTACTGTTTATAATTTTCTTTAAAGTATTTTATCTTTTTAATTTAACTTTTTTGTTTCAACATAATCGTAAGGAAAAAGATCTTGATAATATTTGGCATTAGTTGGTTAGCTTTTCCAAATAAATTTCCTCACTGTTATGCAACATAACGCACCTACACATGCTTGAGGTATGGACTGCTGCTGCCTCAAAGCTATTATTTTTTTCAACAATATAAACTAATATTTGTTTAGAATATTTCTTAGTCATCGACAACATGTACGTATCTTGTCGATGTTATTTAGTTACTCGAATCCAGGACCTTTAAGAAGTCATTATAAAAATGAGTCCAGTCCCCAACTTCACCTTTAGGGAGAATCACAAACACTTCCTCGGCTCTTCTTCCTTTTCCAAAGCACCGACTCTACCCCTTTTAATTTTTGGCTGATTTTTACATTAAAAAAATCTTCTAAGAATTAAGAAGAAAAGAACGGAGAAGATGGGATGCTGTAGCAATGTCCTTGAGAGCTCCAAACCTTATGTTGCAATGATTTCACTGCAATTCGGGTACGCCGGCATGAATATCATCACCAAAGTATGTATGTGTGTGTGTGTGTGTATCAACTGAGATATTTTCATACAATATATGCTGAGTGGTACTATTTTAACATATTTCAGGAGAGGGCAGCCAAAGATAACAGTCCACTCTTTATGCAAATATTTATCCTGGCTCTTCTGGGTTAGTTCTTTTCTCCTTTTCATGCATAGATTTTGCTCTAGATTCTTAAATTTACTCAATTTTCCTTTTCATAAAACAACAGGCCTGTGATTGACCAGAACTTCTACTATGCTGGGATGAAATAACATCTGCAACTTTCTCGTGTGCTATGAGTAATGTGCCGTTTATCATGGCTGTCATCTGCCGGTACATAAATTTTTTTTATGTCAAGAACAGATTTGGTTAAGGTCTGAGTAAACTGATTGTTGTCTGGTTTTGTAATGAAAACATATACACAGGATGGAGAATATTGATGTAAAGAAAATGAGATGTCTAGCAAAGATGTTGGGGATGACTGTGACGGTGGCCGGGGCAATGCTTATGGCATTGTACAAAGGACCCATTGTTGACCTGTTTTGGAGCAAGAATTATGTTCATACTAGCCAAAATCAATCTTACGTTACTCACACTACTGACAAAGATTGGGTCAAAGGCTCCATTCTCCTTCTCATTGCCACCTTTTCTTGGGCTTTCATGTTCGTTTTGCAGGTATTATATTAATCAAGCACCAAATTTACTTAACTTTTTCTAGATTTGATTCATTGTTTTGGTGACTTTTTTCGCAAGGCAAAAGCATTGAAGACATACAAGGATCATCAGCTTTCTCTGACATCACTGGTGTGCTTTGTGGGAACTGTACAAGCAACTGCAGTGACATTTGTGATGGAACACAAGGCCTCTGTTTGGAAAATTGGTTGGGACATGAGCCTCCTTGCTGCTGCCTATGCTGTAATAAAATCATCTCCCCTCTATTATTATGTTGCATGTGCTATATATATTAATTAAATTTAATGTTTTTTTTTCAGGGGATTGTAACATCAAGCATATCATACTATGTTCAAGGGATGGTAATAAAGAAAAGGGGCCCAGTGTTTGCCACTGCTTTCAGCCCTCTGATGATGATCATAGTTGCAATCATGGGGTCGTTCATCCTGGCTGAGAAGATTTTCCTTGGAGGGTAAATTTTTATTTTTTAACTTCTTCATTACTTTATTTCATTCACTGACAATAAAGTAGTAATTTTTCTTCTTCTTTTGGGTTGGTGAATTGCAGTGTGATAGGTTCCATATTGATAGTAATAGGGCCGTACTCAGTGCAATAGGGAAAGCACAAGGAAGAAGTTGATATAGCAGAAGCAATTGAAGCTAATAAAATTATTTCTGTAGTGGCAATCACTATGCCAAAGCAAATGCCAGAATCCCCTTAAAATATAATTCAAGTTCAATTCATAATTCAGTTTACCATCTTCACTTGCATGTTGTAGGCGGAAAACAAGATCACCTGGTTAATGAGTTGAATCACTAGTTCGAGAAACTTTTCTGCCTTGTAGATTTTGCTGGGTTTTAGTTGAATAAACTAATTAATTCAATTTTCAATTGGTAAAAAAATCTCTGTAAATTCATGGGCACGTTCCAAAATCTAAATAATTTATTAACCTAAAAATGGTTCTTTCTTCAGGTTGATTTTGATCCTGTTCAATCAAGACCCAAATGCCATGACTAGATATGTTGACGGCTTTATATAGCAGTGGCCGTGCTTTGTACAGCAGGCAAATTGTTAGCCCAATTCGAGGGTCAATACTGAAATGTTGGTTTAGAACAAAAACGAAAAAAAAAAAAAACCTTAAGGTGACGTTTGGTTCGCAAGAATCCCTTGAAATTAGGGGGAATTGGAATCTAATTTCATCACTTTTTCATGTTTGGTTCAAGTTTTCAAAGGGAATTGGAATCTCTCATGACTTCAACTGAGGGAAAGTGAATTTAATTCCCTTATTGGAGGGAATTGAAATTTGATCATACTACCATCATCAATCTTTAAGTAACTTATTCATATATTGAATAAATTTTTTTTATTATTTCGGGTCAGGTCGAATTTCTAATTCATAAATTCAGGTCGGATCGGGTGAAACTTTATTTTGGTCGGATCGGGTCAGTTTTTTTAAGTATGATATTCGGGTCGGGTTGAGTTCGGGTTTAGGGTGAAAAACACCTGACCCGAATATATATATAATTTTACCTTATATATTTAGGAATAATTACAATAATACCCCTTTATATATAATTTTTTTTCAATTAAGTCACTGTTTTTTATTGAATAAAAATAATTTTTTTATTATTTCGGGTCGGGTCGGATTTCTAATTCATATATTCGGGTCGGGTTGGGTGAAACTTTATTTTGGTCGAGTCGGGTCTCGGATGGAGGTTCCCTTAGTCTCGGGTCGGATTAGGTGGACCAAAAACTCGACCCATGGCCATCCCTAATTGGGATGATTTTAACTAATGATGATTATTAGCATGATTTTTATAATTTATTGAAATGAATAATCAATCAATAAAATTAAAATTTAATATTTTTTAAATTTTTATAATATATTGCTACATGTAATTTATAAAACAAACTAAAATTAAGCCAAAAAAAACAAGAAGGAAAATCTTATCATTTTATATTACTGAAATCAAATTCATCTGACATGTCTACGAACCAAACAGAATATTGAATTAGATTTCAATTCAATTTTCTGCCAACCAAACAGAATATGGAATTGAATTTTAATTCCTGATAGATTTCAATTCATTCACAGGTTCCAATTTCCTCAGAAACATTCCGGCGAACCAAACGCAACCTAATTATGAGTATAGATTATCGCCATTTCCCTCTACTTGCTTGAGCTACTGTTGCTTGGAATCTTACAGAGCTGTCCCTAAAAGAAAAAAATAAAGAATTTTTCTTTGCAATGGCGGACAAAGCGGTGACTATTATAGGACGAGGAAGTTCATGACTAACAGGCTACTTTCCAGGAAACAATTTGTGAGTACCCTTTTCGTTTTTCTCGGTAGCCAAACATGAATCAATGTTAATTGTTTCAGTGGTAGATCTTAAATCTCGTTTTCCCTATTAGTTCCTTCGTTTAGCGTTTAGTATCAGTTTTAGATCTGATTAAACAAGGGAATTACAGAAAAAGTAATAGCAAAATGTTGTTTTTCATTGTATTGCTACTAATAAGACGCTTAACTTAAAACTTTGATTAAAGCTTACAAAA